GAGTCAGGCCAATAATATTGACGGTGCAACAGTTTCTGGGTTTTATCAACCCCGAAATGTCCGGAGAAGTTGGAATCATGACCTCTTGGATAAGGAGTTCACGCAGCAGCTGGTAAGCGGGAACCCAAATCCGGTCAGTTCCGGCTTTTAGGTAGTAGTTCCCCTTCTGCGTCGTGGCCTGCTGGTGATTTCCGGTCGTGAAGAATGGGTCTGTAGTGTAGCCGTGGGTGATGAGTACTGCAGCGGATTGAACTGTCGGTCGGGTAAGGGCGTCGGCGATGTTATTCGCCCCTTTCTTGTACGTGATGCGGTAGGTGAAGTGGCTCTCCATGTAGTCGAGCGACCGAACTTGACGCGGGTTGAGGTTGGGCTGAGCTCGCAGGTACTATAGGGACTTGTGGTCCGTGCGAACCGTGACGTCGGCGCCCACCAGGTAGCAATGCCAGAGTTTGAACGCGTATATTATTGCGAGCATCTCCTTGTCGTGTATCGGGTAGTTGCGCTCGGCTGACTGCAGCTTGCGTGACTCGTAGGCGATCGGCTGCAGTCCGTTTCCGAAACCCTGGAGAAGTTCAGCTCTGATGGCAAAATCCGAGGCGTCGGTGATGACTTCGAACGGCTTCGATGGGTCGGCGATGCGAAGTACCGGAGGGGAAACCAGAAAATTCTTCAGCTCCTGAAAAGCCGCCTCTGCCTCCTCCCCCCACACAAAATTCCTGTCCTTGTGCAGCAGGTCGGTTAACGGGCCGGTTATCCCCGCCATATTCGGGATAAACCGCCTAACATAATTCACGAACCCCAGAAAACTCTGAAGTTCCGTGACATTAGTCGGGGACTTCCACTCCTGTATGGTCTTGATATTCGCCGGGTCGATTTGAATGCCGTCGCGGGAAATGACGTGCCCCAAAAACTCCAACTCCTGCTTAAAAAACTCGCACTTAGAGCCCTTGCTGAAGAGGCGGTTCTCCTGTAGCCGCTTAAACAATGCGTTGAGGTCTCGGAGGTGTTGTTCTCTTGTCCTGCTAAAGATCAGGATATCGTCCAAATAGACGATAACCGTCTTGTCGAGCAGGTCCCTGAAAACCCTGTTCATGGTTAGTTGGAAAGTCGAAGGCGCGTTTGTGAGGCCGAATGGCATCACTGTAAACTCAAAGCTGCCGTAGCGAGTTCGGAATGCGGTATTGTAACAATCTTCTGCGAAGACCCGAATATGATGGTAACCGCCACGTAAGTCGATTTTCGAGAAGTAGCGAGCGCCGCAAAGTTGATCGAGAAGGTCGTCCGTGCGTGGGATTGGGTAGCGAGATTTGATTGTCACCCGGTTGAGCGCTCGATAGTCGATGCACATGCGAAGCCCGCCGTCCTTCTTCGGGGTGAACAAGATTGGGGTTGCGAAGGGAGATGTACTGGGTCGGATAAACCCCTTCTCCAACAGTGCTTTGATTTGGCTTCGCAGCTCCTCGAGTTCCGGCTGGGTCAACCGCCACTGTGTCCGAACAGTCGGCTGTGCGCCAGGCTCCAGCTATATTGTGTGGTCTTCGGGTCTCTCGGGTGGCAGTCTAGGTGGCAGATCGTCGGGGAATATGTCCGGGTACTGCAGAATCAGCTCCGCTAAATCAGGTGGTACAGCTGCGCACAACTTCTCGATGTCTTTTCCGTCGGTGTCGGCTGCCAACTCGCGCAAACACACGGCGAACAGCTGCGCGCCTCGGTTGAAGTGGCGAGCAATAGTGACGGCTTTGACGCACGGGGCTTGGATGTAGTCAGGTGTCCATGCATGCAATTTATTTTTTTTAACACCTTACTAGCGACTAGCACAGGGTGATCCACATGGTTATCCCCGTTATTCGGCCGAGTGCGATCGATTGCATGAATCGGAACCACGACTCGGTGGGGATGGTGGGGTTCGGACGACGGAGCACAGTCAGTAAGGGGCCCGTTAATTAATGACTCTTCCCATTTCTCTGCTCCTTCCTGTCGTCCCTCTGCGCCGGCGTTTTCTCGGTGCAGTCGCTCATGTAGTGACCTGTCTTCCCACACCGGTAGCACTGCCCCTTAAAAGAGCGTCTAGGTGTATGGACGGCGTTGATTGTGGTCCGTTGGGTCTGGCCATGAAAACGGATTCCCTCCCCGGAAGCTGTTCTCGCATACTGCATCAGTGCATCCGTGGACTCTGCCAACCGTACTGCTTCCAGGAACGACGGCGGGCGGCATCGGCGCACCTCGTACTGTACTTCGTATTTAAGGCCGCTGATGTATTTATCCAACCGCTCCGCTTCCGACATATCGTCCACTTGGTCGGCGAGTGCCATGAATGACGATGTGTAGTCCTAGACAGATGCCATCTGCGATCAGGCACGCAGCTTCATGCGAGCTTGCTCCGAGGCGGATATGTGCTCGAAGCGATCTCGTAAGGCTGCGCCCCACTCCTTCCACGTGCGTATCTTGGTCACTCCGAAGATTGATCCTGCCACTTGATTCGCCGATGTTGAGGTCCCGTCTGCCGCATGTGTCACTTCTGTCGGGGTCCCCGTGTCCAAGGTTCGGCGCCACCACTCAAGCGCTGCGCCTCGCAGAAGAGATACCGCGTAATTTATATGCGTGGCATCGTCGTTGACCTTCGCTGCAGTGAAGAAGACTTCAACGCCGAAGAGCCACCCCTTCACTGTAGTAGTCTTGTCCGAATGATTGAACGGGGGCGGGTTCGCCGGTTTAATCTTGATCGTCGTAACTGCAATTGGCGTCACTGCCGCTCGCTGCCTATCTTCTTCTTTGATCCACGTGTGAGCGCGTCCAACGCGTTGCTCACCGCTTGACTGTTGCCCTCGCCTTCTTCATCGGGCGACTCCTGACGCGCTTCACCTCGCGCCTGGTGCAGCTCGGTGTTTTCCTCGCGTAGCGTTGTCACTTCTGCCGATAGATTCTGCACTGTTGCCTGTAGCTCTGTCATTTGCGCCAGCATCTTGTTCAATGTCTCCTGCTCCATGAGTCGCACGCTTCGTCTGGTGGGCAGAGGGGTATCCGTGGCCTTCAGGTGAGTGAAAAACACGAACTATCGGAGTCGGGCAGGATTGAATTAACAAACCTTGCAGCCAACTGTCGTGTAGTCCACTGTACCAGCCACGCCCGTGCCACCTAACTACCCTCGAAAAGCGGGGTGAACTAGGAAAATAGCTCTGAAACCAGGTGTTATGAGTTGTAAAAGGGAGTGCGCAGGATAACGAATAACGAAGATGTGACTCAATGAACTGACAATACAATGAAGGCACGCGACTATATAGTGACTACCCAACTAGGAGGGAACCTAGGGAAATTAGGTTGGGTGCAGGTTTGGCGATCGGAAGGCCGAAGGCGACGCGAGGAGCCTCGGCATCGTGGATGTCGGCCGAACGTGGAAGTCCGAATATCGGGGTTGTACGCGTAGCAATCAAGCCCGATAAGGAATTCGGGAAAATTCCTTATAGAGAACATCCAAGCCATGTTATCTCTACTCTACATTCAAAACATGCAGGTTTTGCGCATCATGCTGCAAGTGCGCGAATCCTCGTTCAAACTCCAACCCAACCCACGTGCCTGAAGTGCTTGTCATGTCAGGAGGAGTTTGCTGACACATTGAATTCTCCAGCTGCTGTTTTCAGCCCGGACTCCCTCCCACATGCCAGCCCCAACTCCAGGATGATGGCTCCATAGAGTTGGGAACTTGGGAGCGGAAGGGTGGGGGGAGGTGTGGTGCGGAGTTGAAGTTGGTTGGCATGGCATGGCTAGGCATGGCACATCCAGATTCGAGAAGCTCCTGTAATTCCGCGGCGAGGTTTGAAAACAGGAATGGTGGGAAGCAGTTTCAAATTCGAACCCCTTTGTTCGCGGTTCAATGAGCGGCTGGAGCAGTCGCATGGACCAATGTGCGAAGGGTTTTGGCTGATGATGGCACGGCGGCGGCGGCTCGAGAACTGACGAACAATTTATAGCCGCATGCGATGAGGGATGGACAGGTCATGCGACGGCTGATCCTCATATGGAGCGAATCAACCGTCACCTTCAGGTGCTTGCCAGACATCAACGGAGGACACCGGGATAATGTTGGACGAGAGATCGTCGCACAGAAAGACATCGTCGCATGAAGGAAGCTGTAGTGCAGATCCTCCATCGCAAGCAATCGCCAGCGAACAACAAAGCCACCAAACCAAACCATCTTCAGATGTAAACGAGAGGCGCTCCACCGTCAAACTCTAGGGATCTGGCGCTTCACTCCACACCCATCCATCGTCTCGCAATTCCCGCCCACCTTCGTGTCTTCAACATAATTTCTATCCCTCCCCATCTCCACCGCTCGTCGAACCTGAATAAGCCTCCCAACACCTCCCTTCCACCTTTCGTCTTCGTTGGCTGAATCACGAACAGCTTTCCCATACCTTTCCATCCCAACCCACAATTCCTCAGTCTAGTCTTCAGGACAGGTAGCCTCATCAGTCCCCTAGTAGCCAGCATCCTGATTCTGGTTTGAATTGGAAGCAGCTATTTCGTACCTTAGCTGCTTGTAAGTTTTTGGTCCGTGATTCGCAGGCCAGATATGATAATGGCTTCAGCCTGCGTTTTCCTCCCTAGGTGATATCTCAACATGCACCCGTTTCACTAGCTCTCAAACACAGCCTTCCAACACAAAAATCACCCTGATACCAAACAGTACTCCGTAATTCGTTCCATTCACCTGCAACGAGAGAAGCCATCAAGCCATTGCCTTCAATCCATCGCAATAACAGCGACAGACTAGATTCGTGCATCTTGTTTCATCTCTAGGGGCCGCTGACGTGATCTCGTGGTTGTGTGGGGACGAGTCGGCCAATATTGACGAACCACGCCGTTATATAACCTCATATTCCATGGCCACGCGATGGATGCCTGCACACTCTCGAAACGACAGAGCCGCGTCCAAGCCAGCAGCATGCGGAGGCGGACAATCGACAAACACCCGAGGAGGAACCGCCACTCGCGGATCAAGCATGGCTGAACCGTCGAAGTATGCAGCGTGTGAACCCGCGAAAGCATCAGCGGGTACACCCGCGGGAATACCGGCAGGCCGCGGAGCCGGACGGGGTGTTGGGAGAGGAGCAGCGGCAGATACGCTCGCCGGACGGGGTCGAGGCAGCGCGGGCATCGGACGTGGCGACGCCAAGACTGTCGGCCGAGGGGTGCCATCATCGGGAGCCGCCCGGGGGAACCTCGCGAACGGCCAGGCGGAACCCGCGCGGCAGATCGGCGCACCGCATGTGTTTCCGCGCATGGGGCGCGGGGACATCCGGCGCGCGTACACGCTCGGGCGGGAGCTGGGTAAAGGCGGAGGCGGCGTGGTGCGCGAGTGCCTGGACCCGCTGACTGGCCAGCCCGTGGCTGCCTGCAAGACCATTCCCAAGACAAAGCTCCAGGTACCGACTTTTTTTCAATAAGCCTTGTTTTTTTTTTTTTTTTTTTTTTCAAACTTCAGTTTTCTTTTTGCTTTTTGTTCTCATAGGTGGTGTTGCGATTGAAAACTGCATCGTGTCCACCCCGCTTTCCTCAGACCTATCACTGCAATCCTTATTCCTCTGCGACCCATCCCACACACCCCGCAGTCTCACACACCAATTACGCCCAACTTCTCATCCCCTCCCCCCAACTTCCTTACCCCGTCCCTAACCTCCCCCAATTCCCCCAATCCCGCCTCCTTTCCCCAATCCCCCCTATTCCTCTTCCTTCCCCCGATTCTTCCCCCTCCCCGCAGCGCCCGGACCTGGTGGAGGAGCTGCGCGCGGAGGTGGCGGCGATGCGGCGGCTGGCGGGGCACGCGCACGTGGTGCGGCTGCTGGCGGTGTACGAGGACGACCACGCCGTGCACGTGGTCATGGAGCTCTGCACAGGTGGCGACTTATACGACCTGCTCACGGCTGCCACCACGCTTCCGGAACCCATCGCCGCGCAGCTAACGAGGTACGATGAGACCTCTCTATCCTGCACAGGTGGCGACTTGTACGACCTGCTCACCGCTGCTACGACGCTGCCAGAGCCGATCGCCGCGCAGCTGACGAGGTACGATAAGTCCAGTCCGTCCCAGCCCATCCGCACGTACCGCACCGATGCAGCGGTGCACGTGCGCGCAGTGATGTGATTATAACGCGGTTCCTGCCATGCTGTTGACTCGTCGCAGATGTCTCTGCTCTTCCAGCCCGAAAATGCACTTCAATTTTGTCTCAACTCCACGTCGTTCTCCCGTTTAAATCACCCTCCCCTGCAGTCAAATCCTGAAGGCGCTGAGTCACTGCCATCGCAACGGCATCCTTCATCGCGATATCAAGCCAGAGAATATCTTATTAGCGAACCCGGTAACGGTACAAGACGGGCAGGTCGCAATCATTGACGCAGCTGTACCCGCTACAGGAGCAGCGGCGAAAACGGGAGAAGAATCGGTTTCTACAGTACCAGCAGCTGATTCTTACGCGGAAGATGAGATTATGCAAGATGTGACTGTAAGCGGCGGGCCTGTCAGTAGCACTGTAGCGTGTGCAGGTGGCGGGTTCGGTGACTCGCCCAGCCCATCTACAAGCACATTCAGTACGAGTGTAATGAGCAGTACACCCAGTAGCATGTTAATGTCATCTGGTAGCGCCAGCACTGCCAGCAGCAGCTTTGGGGCTAGGGGGGGGATGCTGTCGGAAGGGGGGCGCGGAGCAGGGGAGGGGGACGGGGAAGAGGACGGGGAGAGGGCGGAAGGCGCGGGGAGCACCCTGCATGTCAAGCTTGCGGATTTCGGGCTGTCTGTTATGCTTAAAACAGGGCAGCTTGCAGTGGGTATGCATGGGAGCAACGTGTACATGGCTCCAGAAGTGGTGTGCAGGAAACCGTACGGTTTAGCTATTGATTTATGGGGTCTTGGAGTTATCCTCTTTACAGCACTCTCCGGTTACATGCCCTTTTGGGGTAACACGGATGAAGAGCTTTTTGTCCGTATCCTGCGCGGCCGCCCGGATTATGCCAGCGATCCGTGGCCGTCGATCAGCGCAGAGGCGAAGGATCTGGTCCATCGGTTGCTCACAATAGATCCGCCGCGCCGGATCAATGCTGACGTGGCGCTGCAGCATCCGTGGATCTTGAAGCATTGCGGTGCATCTGCACCGTCCATTCCAGCATCTCTCGGCGAGCCTGCTGGCGTCAATCCCAAGGCATCTTCTCACTCAGCTCTTGCTGCTGGGAACAACTGTACCTCTATGGATGTCCCATCATCTGGGGATTCTGCTTCGATTGCAGCTTCGTCTCCTGCTCATTCTGCTGCTGCTGGTATTTCCGTGTCAGTGGCTGCTGCTCCTGCTGCTGCCTCTGCTGCTGCCGCTCCTGCTGGTGCTGCTGGAGCTGCTGCTGGTGTTGCTGATCTTTCAGCAGCAGCTGCTCCTGCCTCTCGCAGAGCACCATCACCCATTCGCCGCCAGCCCTCACCCATCCGTCGACCGCCTTCACCTGCCAAGCGACCAGCCTCCCCAGCCAGGCGTGGCACCGCTACTGCTGCACCTGCTGCTGCTGCTGCTGCCGCCACAGGTGCTACTAGTGCCAGAGCGACTGCTGCTCCTGCTGCTCCTGCTGCTGCTCCTGCTGCTTCCAGGGCAGCTGCTGCTACTGCTGTGAAGGACGCAGCTGCTGCGAAGTCATCTGCAGTGTCACCGCGCTACCCCTCAAAGACACGCCCTGCAACGACCCAGGTAGCCGCTGCCAGAGCTTCAGCTGCTGCTGCTGCCCGCGCTGCTGCAAGAGGTGCCGCTGCTGCTGCTCCCGCACCCGCCACTGCTGCTGCTGCACCCGCCACTGCTGCTGCTGCACCCGCTGCTGCTGCCGCTGCTGCCGCTGTGCGTTCAATGAAGGCGCCTGGTGCGCCCACCACACCGCTGCTGCCCAGCCGCACACGGGCAAACGTGCCGGCTGATAATAACGGGGCTGCTCGTGGTGCAGCTGCTGGTGGTGCCTGTAGAAAAGGAGTTGGTTCCAATGATGTGCGGATGCAGTCGGACACCAAGGATCACAAGCAGCAGGAGCAGCAGGAGCAGCAACAGCAGCAGCAGAGGCGGAAGCACGAGTCAAAGCCTTCCCCCGCACATTCTCCCACCATCTCCTCCGTTTCCTCCGCTGCCTCCTGCCCCACGCCCTTCACTCTCCCCCACTCCGCCGCCCTGCCCACTCCCCATTCCCATCATCCCGCTGCTCCTCTGCCTGCCACTGCTACTGGTGTTTCTCTGGGCGTACCTGTGGGTGCCGTCTCGTTTCCATCACCCATCGCTGCTGTGACCCATTCAGAGGGCATTACTAGTGTTGCTCACCCAGCAGTCTTCACTGCTATGCCTCACCCACCAGTCACAGCCTTCAATGCTACTTCCCTCCCAGTTGCCATCACCGTCCGCCCTTCATTTGTCAAGCCCATGCCTCCGCCTTCCCAGCTCGCTTCGACCGCTCCTCCTCCAGCAGCTTCAGCCGCTGCTCACATTTCTGCTTTGGCAGCAGCTTCGGCGACAGGTTCGGAACCAGCTTCGGCAGGTGCGTCAGCCTTGGCAGCGTTCGTGCCTGCGGTGGTCGGTGGTAGCGCGGGGGTCACAGACGCTGTTGCGGCTTCGGCAGCTGTCTCTGCAGAGCAACCGGCTGCCATGTCTGTTGATCATCCGTTTTCCGTCCCCTTGCCAGCAGCAGCTCCAATCTCTCATACGCCCACCCCACCTGCGCCTACTGCACCTGCTCCTACCCCACATGCACCTACCCCACATGAGCCTACCCCACATGTGCTTACCTCACATGCACCTACCCCACATGATTCCACCTCCACCGGTCCTACTTCTGGGGCTGAAGCCGCTATCGAGCCTCTGAAGCGGGCCTGTAGAGCGCACAAGGGCCGCACGGGGGTGTTACGAGTGTCATCTGGCAGGAGAAGGGACGGTGCCCATGCTTCAGCTGCCCCGGCCCCCTCTGCTCCTGCTCCTAGTACCGCCGTCACTGGTGCTGCTGCTGCTGCTGGTGCTGCATGTGCTGCTGCTGGTGCCTCTGGCGGTGCTGGTGGCAGTGGTGGGTCCTTCGGTTCTGCCAGTGGTGCTATGGCTAGTGCCACAAGCAAGCTCGCTTCTCTCTTCTCCCTGGGTGCTGCTCCGGCAGCCAAGGCTCGGAAGAATGCTGCCGGAGCTGGCGTGTCAGGTTCGGGAGTGCCAGGTTCGGGAACGTCTGCGTTGTTCCGAGCCAGGCCGTCGGGCCTAAGCAGCCCGTTCACGTTCTTCTCTCCCAAGAGGAAGATCCGAAAGTCGCAAGTGGTTGTGAACAGTGCCGCGGCTGCGGGGAAAGCAGTGGCGGCGGGCGGTGTAAGTGGGAGAACAGATATGGCCGTGGATGGGACTGGTGGGCAGGAGGAGGAAGAGGAGGATGAGGAGGAGGAAGAGGAGGAGGTGGAGGAGGGAGAGGGTGAGGGAGAGCAGGAGCAGCAGAAGGGTGAGCTGGGAAGCAGAGCAGGTTTGGCTGGGTACAATAGTGCAGTGCTGAGTGCAGCAGCTGCTGCTGTGCTGCATACTCATTTGAATGGCCAGGATGAAAAGCAGCAGCAGGAGAATCACCAATCGCACCCTCACCAGCCGTGGCAGAGGAACGGGATGATCGGCAGCCTCGGCAGCACCGGAGCTGCGAGCAGCGTTGGCACCATAGCAGAGTTCCGGGCTCGGCTGTCCCCGGCAGTCACTCTTGACAGAACCGCCGCTCCCGAGCCTGTGGCGGTGTATTCAAGCACAGGAGGCGTGCTGCCAGCTGTCAGCGCAGCATTGGGTGGAGGGCATGCAGGAGAGAATGTGATGGGGAGAGGAGGGATGGAAGTGGATGGAGGGACATGCGAGGGGGGCATGTCAGATGTTGTGTCGGCCTTTTCGATTCTCCGGACTAACTCTATACATGGAGCTTCTGCTGCACTATCAGCAGAAGCACCGCAAGCAGGAAGAGAGGCCACTGGTGTAGCCACAGCTAGTCGCAAGCCAAAGGCGCTTGCAGGTTCGCATCTCGCGGGGGCTGCAAGAGATACCAGGAGTTTGCTTGGGAGCCATAGTGCGTCAGGGAGGTTCAAGCATCTCTTCTCAGGACGCTAAAAGGCTGAAGTTACGCATGTGTATGAATATTTACTGTGTTTATTTTTTATTAAATAAGCTTGAGCCACTGTTCTTAGCATCATTGTAATGACTAGTGAATGAAAGAGTGCGCAAAAGTCAATTAGAGGCTGTGATTACCACAACTACTGAAAATACAGTGAAGCATAGCAAAGGTATACCGGGGGACCTAGCTAGGCATCGACCTCGGAAGGCAAGGTTGGGTGCTGGTCTGGGGCTGCGAAGTCTGAAGGCGACGCGGGTCAAGATAGGAAGGCGAGGTAGTCAGACCTAGCCTGGTATTCCGAATAGTTGGAGCCATACGCGTGGTAGTGTGACAGTAAGGAAAAGGGAAGAATCCTTGCAAGGATAAATAACTAAGATGGTGAAGTCATAAAAGAGAACATTACTAGTTACATACTGTTATTGTGAAACCATGCTCTCGCAGACATCCAACTTTTCGTTTTCTTGCATTCTCGCGAAAAGAATTCGCAGGGGGCCACGTCCCCAAGTTTCGAGTCCCTGCCACATCCAATCCAGGTTGCAACAGCACCTGGACACCCTGCCATGTCAGCAATCCACCCTTCTCCATCCAGCCTTCGATCCTCCCCAAACCCAACCCAATCTCTGTCCCCCTGCACTGCGCGTTCCCAGATTCCCCCCATTCCCCCAAAAGTACTTCGTCCCCGCGCATGCGCATCCATCCCTCCTCTGCTCTTCCTGCGCTCATCCCCTTCCAACCCACCCCCTCCTCCCCCCATCCCCCCTCCCCCCAAGCCCCTCCCCCCGCCACCCTTCACTCATCCGCACCCCTCCGCCTTCTTCTCGTTCCGCCTTTTCCATCGCACGCCCTGTCTTTCACCCCTCTCCCTCCTCCTGGTCCCTGGCCAGGGTGTTTCACTGCTCATTCTCTAAAAGTCTCCGCATTTGGTAGTTAATTGCTGTCCTTGGAAACGAGGTAGTAGCGGTCGTTTAGACCAGCGCGAGAGAGAGAGAGCGAAGCGCAGCTTGAAACCCACTCTGCCTTAAACCATGGCCGCCATCGAAGCCACCCCCATGCTCCAGTCTCTCCGCCTCGACGCCGCACTCGCGGTGCCGTCGCGCGCGGCCGTCCCCGCCTCCTCCTTCGTCCGGCCGCAAATTAGCCTCCGGTCGAGCCGCGTCCTTAGCGGGCGGCGAGTGGCGGAGCGGTCCGCCGTAACTGCGCGCGTGCAGGCGGTGGCGGAGCTGTTTCCGTCCGTGGAGGGCGCGGAGGACGCGGGGGAAGCGGAGGAGGTCGACGCGCCTGCAGTGAAGGCGAAGACGGGGAAGAAGGCGCTTGTGTTCAAGAGGGACCAGGTGCGAGACGGAATCGATCCAGCGTTTAGGGTTTCGTGTAGCTACCCGATGAAATCTAGGGTTAGCCAGATTGCTGTGCCCCTTTAGGGAGGGTCAGAACGGGGAAGAGTTCGCCTGGGTTTCAGAAGATCGTTTGTTCAGAGTGGCACAGGGTTCGTGAGGGATGGGGAGCAAGACGAAGCATATCCACTGTTCGAGTATCGCGCGGCTTAGCAATGATGTTGGTCAGGGTTCCAACCTGACTGTGCAGTGATAGTCGGAATGTGCTGCATTGTGCTGCGCAGGCCAGCAGTTTCCGAGGGCCAGATGCGCGGCAGAGCAAGTTTAGGGTTTCTTTATCGACCGACGACGTTCAGGTTTAGCATGAACGTAGTGTACAATGAGTCCATGGCAGTACCTTTCTCTACCATGCACAGCTCCGGCGCAGCATAAGAAGGACCGCCGCACAGGAGGAACAGGAGCGAGGGTTTCTTGAAACAAATGCAGGCTTTCGCAGCTGACCTTCCCCGAGTCTCTAGTTTCAGGCCCAATGTAGCGCCTCGAGTACGTCTCCAGCCGAACGAAAGGTTGTTCTGAGTAGCGGTCTTTTTGGTCCAGTTTGGGAGGTTAAATCTAAGAAGCTTCTCATTTGGAGCGTCAATGCGTTACTTTCTCCGAACGTGCGTGGAAGTTTCTGTAGCGAGGTAACAGATCGGACTGTTGGTTGGTTCTCTATATAGCCTCCGTGATATCGACGCGAGGAAGGCTAAATTCCTCGCTGTAATTTCTTGACAACTCAAATGAATTTGTCGGAGTGCTTCGGCGCAACGAAGCTGTGAGCCTGGTATGGCTTCAGGAGCAGCCGCGTTATGTGTATTCACGCCCTCGGTCTCTCTCTCCGCGCTCACTTCCTGGTCAACTTCCCATCCAAGTGGTTCCTGGAGGTTCAGAAGCTGCGCGACCGCAACAGCGAGTATGAGGCGGTGCGCTCCGGCCCTTCGGCTCGCGCTGCTCCCGGTTTTAGGATTTCCAACCGTTTTGCCCTTCTTCCCCCTCCCCACCCCAGACCCGATCGAAGCGGTTCCTGGAGATTCAGAAGCTGCGCGGCCGCAACAGCGAGTACGAGCCTAGGTACCACCGTGCGGCGAGACGGAGGCTTGAGTGTATTCCCATCGCACTCTCCTTCTCTCTCTGCTTCACTCACAATCCCCGCGGCAGACCCGGTCGAAGCGCTTCTTGGAGATTCAGAAGCTGCGCGACCGCAACGGCGAGTACGCGCCGGTGGAGGCGCTGGAAATCGTCAAGGCGACGGCTTCCGTCAAGTTTGACGAGTCCGTCGAGGCGCACTTCCGCCTCAGCATCGACCCGAAGTACGCCGACCAGCAGCTGCGCGCCACGGTGCGTAACGAGGGTACATGTAGCGGGGATGTTGTTAGCGGGGATGTTGTCCGAATGAATTAGTCGAAGGAAGGCGCACTGTAGGCGAATCATTGATTGGAAACACGCCGAACAGCAGCTGCTCGCCGCGGTGCCTAATGATGGAATGCTCTTAGCGGGGATATTGTAGTCAGAGATGCGGGAAGAATGGTTTCGGTTCGGGTTCGAAGCTAGAGGACCCTTGAATCTGTCTAGGAGGCTCGCGTTCGGCTCAACAATGGTCCCTGCGCGCCACTGCGGGCAAAAAAGTTGCTGTTAACGGGATGCTGTTAGCGGGGATGCTGTTAGCGGGGATGATAATCTGCAGCTCGTGTAAGCCTCGGGGCGGACGAATCACTCTATAATGACTACTGCTTTCAAAAATACCCTCAATACACGTGGACGAATCACTCTATAATGACTACTGCCCACGCGAAGCGGCTCTGGATGGTGACGGTGTTTCATGTTGCTGCTGCGTATCTCCCTCGCGCCATTTCGTTTTCAACGAGATTCGTGTTATCTTCCCCCTTCCCCCCGGCCCCCCTCCTTCGACTCCCACCACGTATTTCCCCCTTCCCAAGGGAACCAGCCAGGCGCTTCATGTTGCAGGGCTCCTCCCTCTCCTTACCTCGCCTCCGTCCCTTCCGTCTCTTCCTTTCCCTCTCCTCGCCCTTGTCATCCCCCACCACCAGGTGTCTCTGCCCAAGGGAACCGGTCAGGTGGTTCGGGTTGCTGTGCTCACCCAAGGTATGTCTCTGTTTCATCTTTACTTGGATATTTCCGTACCGTTACTTCACTCGTTTTCCTTACCCCGTTTCCCCTGTTGGTTCATTGTCACGGTAACAAGCCTCTGGAATTGAACAACTGCACCTCGTTACACGTTTTTTTTTTTTTTTTTTTTTTTTGTTTTTTTTTCATAAAGTTACTTAAGAAACATCTACAGTTGCTGATGCGCCTCAAGAGATACATCGCTTGAAGGGAGACTTTTGAGTCGACTCAATAGCCAGCTCGAAGGGAGAGTTGCATTTTCTAAATTTCTTACTCTCAGACCCCTCTTCCTTCTCCTCTCAATCCATGTCTCCTCCCCCACCGGGCCACCCCTGGCCCTAATCATCCATAATCTCCCGTCCCCCGTCGCCGCCCCCCCACTGCTGCCCCCCATCCCCGCCCCGATCCCTCACCATATATTCATTCCTAACCCCTGTTCCCCCCCCTCCCTCTCCCCGATTTCCTCCTGTCCTCATTCCCGCCCCTCAATGCCTGTCCCCCCATGCGCGCAGGAGAGAAGCAGAGGGAGGCGACGGAGGCGGGTGCTGACGTGGTGGGCGCGGAGGATCTGATTGAGCGCATTGCGGGCGGCTTCCTCGAGTTTGACAAGCTGGTTGCCACGCCTGACATGATGCCCAAGGTGCGATGCGTTGCTTGCTCCTAGCTGCTGCCGGGTTGTAGCTGGGGCAAGGTTGGATCAGCAGGGCGGACGTGGTTGCGGGCGGCTTTCTCGAGTTTGACAAGCTCGTCGCCACTCCCGACATGATGCCCAAAGTGCGTTGCGCTGCTTGCTCCTCGGTCCGTTCTCTAGACCGTAGACCCCAACCTCTCCGCTGTCATTCTCTTTGCTCTCCCTCACACCATTCTATTCTCCTTCCCCCGCCCTCACCCTCCCACACCCTCACCCCTCATCCGCATCACTCTCTCTTGCAGCCCTTCCCTCACACCCTGCCGGCTCGTCTGGCTGGTCGGCTGGGCCCCCCGAGGCTTCGTGCCCACCCCCCAGGCTCAAGCCCTATGCATGCTTAGAACCTGTCTCACACACTTATCCCCGCTCTACCACTCCCTCTCCCCTACTCCCACTCCCCCCACTCGCTCTCCCCAAATCGCCTTTGCCCACTCCTCCCCGACGCCCTTCTCCTGTACTCTCGGGTCACTCCTGCTGGCAGGTGGCACGTCTGTGGTCCACCTGGCCTCATACCCAACCCCCATGGCCCAAGTATTAGACATGCTTCGGACCTATTTCACACCTGTATTCCCACTCTCCCTTCTCTTCGCTCCCCTCTCCTGTTGCTCTTGTCTCTCGCCCCGCGCAGGTGGCGCGTCTGGGTCGTCTGCTGGGTCCACGTGGCCTCATGGCCAACCCCAAGGCCCAAGCCTACGGCATTTTTCGAGCCTGTCTTACACGCTTGTCCCGTTTCTCCCCTCTGCCCCTACGCCTTCTTCCCTCTCGTTCAGGTGGCGCGTCTGGGTCGTCTGCTGGGTCCACGTGGCCTCATGCCCAACCCCAAGGCCGGCACCGTCACCACCGACCTTGCTTCGGTACGTGCCCCCACGTCCCGCTTGCGTTCTGTTTGGTTTCATGGCGTACTTGTGTGCGTGTGTGGGGGTGGGGGGCGGGGGTCTGGGTGTGTGTGTGTGCGTGCGCGTGTTGCAATTTCACCTTTCCTGCTGTTGCCGTTGATGTCTCGAAAGTGTCCCACCGCAAAAGTGTCGCTCTGACCACATGTTTTCATGCACCTTCCCGCAGCCTCTTTCTCCCAATAGTTGATGACTCAGATGCGTGTACACTGCATGCACCTTCCCACCTACCTGTTTCCCTCACCTGCTTCCCTTACCCTCAGTTCTAACCCCTCCGTTTCTACCCCATAACCTCTGTCCAGTGCTCCCTCTCTCCCTACAGGAATTAGTGAATATATATTTTTAAGCGGGGAAGGCACAGTAGCGTGGCAACATTCCTTCGCTCGCTTGCATCCCGCACGAAACCCTCCACTTTCCCCCCATCCATTTGTCCATGACTCCCAGCAGGGACACCCATTCACTCACATGTGTCTGGCTCTCCCCCCCCTTCCCTCCACCCCCCCCCCCCCCCCCCCCACCCCCCACACACAATGACCCTAAACCCAAGGTGGCGTAGCGTGCCGACATCCATCCACTCTCTTACGTCCTGCATGGCACCCGTGTGTTCCCCCCTCCCTCTTCTCTCCCACAATGCCCCCCCGGCCTGCTCTCCCCCCCTTGACAGGCGGTGGTGGACTTCAAGGCGGGCAAGGTGGAGTACCGGGCGGACAAGACGGGCATCGTGCACGTGCTCTTCGGCAAGGCCTCCTTCTCCAACGACGACCTCCTCACCAACCTCGTTGCCGTCGCTGTAAGTGTATTAATAAAATATTGTGTAGTGTATTTATATTCATGTGATGTATGGTGTGTGGCAATGGTTGTCTGTTGGTGTCGTGACTGATATTTTGCTTGCGTGTTTGTGCGATGTGTTGTTGAATTACAGAACTCTGTGGATGCGAATCGCCCACCAGGCGCCAAGGGAGTGTACTGGAAGACAGCATACATCTGCGCTACAATGGGCCCGTCTGTTCGTGTAAATGTGTCTGCCTTGAGGGACTTCAAGCTGCCCACTGCCTCATCGTAAGGGAATGTGTCAAATTTTCGCCTTATCCACACTTATAAAATGCAGTGCCAAATGAATGAGATTTTTATAAGATGATTCTGTGCCAAATTCTCTAGGTTTCATATTAGTGCTTTCGTAAATGACCAGTCATATTAACCAATCACAAAAGCTGGCGCGCTGTACCTACACCTTATTCGTTCTTCTCCCGAGTTCACCAATCACAAAATCCACAGTGGCTGAGTCAGCCCGATTTCAGAAGCCAATAAGGAAGCTCAAGGCATCGCTGTCTCGTTCGCTCTCTGCGGCCCTCGCTTCGTTTCGGCCTGGTTCGGTAAGTCGCGCTGCGGTTTGGGTAACTTCTCATCTCAGTTTCAAGCTGGGGCAGGTGTGTACTATGGTCTTTCAGGATATTCGCTGCCCGTCAAAGTGTCGGTCATCGGTTTTCCTTGTGACTTGTGAGGTGAGTGTTCGTGGGCAGAAATTTGATTGGGGCAAAGCCAATGGCGAAGCACAAAAGTGTGTGTCAGGCTCGGGATTTCGGGGGAAAAGGCCCGGTCTGCACAAACGAGCGGGTTAGGTTAGGGAAAGCGCGACATTTGTGGGATGTGATTGATGGGGGGAGGTTGGGCTGTTTCTCGCTGCAGTTGTGTGTGCCGTGCCACGAAACTGTTCGTATTTTCGCGTGGAGCTACTGTCACCGAGAGCTACCGCACACAACCCACCTCGGGATTGCTGTTGGAGGTGATCAATTATGCTTCCACCGTTACTGCTGTTGATGTTTTATTTTGCAGACGCATACGAGTAGGAGACGCGAAGTAGCCGTGCCGCGTTAGCTTCTGTTGTTATGAGCTTGCGGATCTAAGTCGTTCAAGTTTCGGGTGCTACTGTTAGTATCTCCGTGAGTTTGACCTCTTCGTTCAACATTAATCCACGAACAGAGACCTTCGGCCACCTACCCATTCCTCGTTGTCCGTTCCGTGCCATCGGCATCCAGCTTTCTGGCATTCGATGCCAAGTAGCGTCAGTGTTTTGCTAGTTTCTTGCCGGATAGGTTGACTCGCGAAGTTCGTAACCTCTGCACTTGACCCTGCGTCACCGTCGTTAGCAGGATCGGATTGGATTGGTATGATAGGTTAGTCCACGCAATTCCTCCGCAGTTCCTCCGCTTAGATCGTCCCTCAGTGCGTTGCCGGCTTGAAACCCTCGCTTCGTCTCCCCGGCAGCGGCTCGTTCATGGCACCTACCTCCAAGCCTCGTCTCTATTGTCCTTGAGTTTTGATTTCGAGCAGCCGCCGCTCGAGCCCATTCACCATGGTAAGCTGCTGTGTGTTCTGTCTTCTTTCACGTTATTGTGCCGTCAAGGTTGCGCTGTCAAGTTATTGGCTCGTCAAGTCCTTGTGCTATCAGTTTCTGTTGTCAAATCGTGCTCGAAAGAACGAATTTGCTGATAAGAACAACCTCTTGCTCTTTCGGTGCACGCACGAACTCGAATATGAACACGCAGTCGCCAAACCATGGTCGCAATTCTACTGCGTGCCTGGATTTCGCATGGCTCTGTCGCATGCACTAAGCTCTTCGCATCCTTTGCCAACGTGTCGTGGGTTGTTTGGGATCCTATATTGCACGTTGACTCCTCCTCTTGCGCGACGTCGCACGCCATCGCGTAGCGTCGCATGCTCTTTATTCTTCCTCTGTACTTTTAAGATTTCGCAGAGACGAACTTTGCGTCCATTTTACAAGTCTTGGAAAAAGTACAAACCTCGCAGTTCTTCGTCATGTCCCTAAACACTTCCAAGAGTCAATTTCGCGGACTCCTCGTTTCTCGCGGTTACCCTTTCTCGCGAAAACTCCCTTTCGCACTCCCCTTTCGCCACCGCACCCCTTCCTTAGCCTGTGTGTCCTGCGGATCTACATTCGGGGAGTTTCAAGCAGCGCAGTGCGCTCACGGCAGGCGGCAGGATTTGAGAGGCGAATGAATGGAGCCTGTTCGTCTTTCCTGACGCCAAAATGCCTTACCTTCCCTGTCCCCGCATTTCCCCCTCTCCCTTTCCCCATCCCCTTCCCGCTTCCCCCTCTCCCTTCCCCCTTTCCCACCCCCTCCATGCCCTTTCTCTCGTGATAAGACCTTTCTGGGGCGCCTACGGCCCCCGTCCCCTCCCCTTTCCCCCCCCTCACTGTTCCTATGCTTTCAAGCAGCGCAGCTTGTTCAAAGCGGGTTGCTGAATCTGGGCCGGATGAATGAGAGGGCTTGTGGGGAGTAACGTGGGGATGCGTCCCTTCTTGTCCCTCAATTCCCCCCATCACTCTTCTCTTAGAATCTTCACACTTTCCTCCCTCAGTCCCTCCTCCCCTCCCTCCCACCTCCCCCCCCCCCCCCCCCCCCCCGCCCCCCCTTCCTCCCCTCCTTCCCCCCTTATTATTTCTCCCTTCAAAGTTTCGCCCAAATTCTTTCCCCCTCGCTCTGCCCCTTTTACAATCCCCCTTTCGTTCTTCCCCCCTCATTTTCCTCCTCACACCCCCTCGCTCTATCCCCCTCACTCTTCCTCCGTCTCTCTCTCCCCCTCGCTCGCCCTCGCCCTCGCCACCACCCACTGCCAACGTGCTCACAGTGGGCAGCAGCGATGGGAGGGGCTTGCTGGCATGCTGCTGGCAACCCACCCCACCCCACCCCATCCCACCCCACCCCACTCCACCCCATCCCATCCGATCGCATCCCACCCTACCCCATCTGCAGGGCTCGGAGCAGCGCAGTGTGTTCACGGTGGGCAGCAGCGTGTGGGTGCCAAATGAGTGAGGCTTGCTGACACGGTGGCACCCCGCCCCACCCCACCCCACCCCATCTGCAGGGCTCGGAGCAGCGCAGTGTGTTCACGGTGGGCAGCAGCGTGTGGGTGCCGGACGAGGAGGATGCATGGGCGGAGGGCGATGTGGTGGGCGTCAAGGATGGCGCAGGGGCAGGGGCTGCGGGCGGGCAGGTGGTGGTGCGCACTATAGGGAAGAAGAAACGCGAGGTGAGTCAGACTGGTGCTGCTGGTGTTGTGTCTGACGCTGGTGGGGTGATGTGAGAAGAAGTAGAAGAAAAAGAGGAAGCGAGGAGGTGGGTCTGGGCCCATTTTTCTGAGGCGCCTATGTGATCACGGGGTGTTGGATGAGGAGGATGCATGGGCGGAGGGCGACGTGGTGGGCGTCAAGGATGGCGCGGGGGCAGGGGCTGCGGGCGGGCAGGTGGTGGTGCGCACTATAGGGAAGAAGAAGCGCGAGGTGAGAGATGGGCGGGTGTGGTGGTGATGGGTATGAAGTGGTGCTGACTGTAGGGGCTGACTGGTGGGGCTGCAGGCGGGCAGGTGGTGGTGCGCACTACAGGGAAGAAGCACGAGGTGAGTCTGGGGATGTGTGTGTGTGGTGGTGATGGGTAGGAAGTGGTGCTGCTGGTGGTGCTGTCTGGTGGGGCTGGGGGCGGGAAGGTGGTGGTGCGGACTACAGGGAAGAAGAAACGCGAGGTGAGTCTCGTGGTGGGTGTGTGGTGCTGTTGGTGATGCGTGTGTGTGGTGTGGTGGTGGTGGCAGGTGGTGCTGGTAATTTCAGCGAAGTTATAGGAGCTCAAAGAAATAAATAGATATATAGGTACGGAGGGGCGTGCAGGTGGTGACCAGAGTCAGGATAGGGAGGAATATGACAGCGTTAGTGACAATGATAGAGAGGCGTGCGGGGGGTGGGAATGGTGATGGGTGGTGGTGGTGGTGGTGGTGGTGATACGAGAATGGCGGAATCATGGACGATATGGTCAAGATGGCGAATCTGCACGAGCCGAGGGTGCCTTTTGAGTCCACTCAAAACCCTCCTCTCCCTTCCCCTCTCATCTTCTCAGGTGACGGTAGCAGCGGGTGCGTGTTACGCACGGGAGGAGGATGGGGGAATCATGGACGACATGGTCAAGATGGCCTACCTGCACGAGCCAGGGGTGCTCTGCAACCTCATGCTGCGCTACCAGCGCAACCTTATTTATGTAAGTGCTGGTGCTTTCTTTTGAAGCTTATTCTGTTGTGTGACAAGCTCAAGCTTGTTATTGTAAGTGTTGGATGGAGCTTTTGAGCTTATGCAGAAGGTAAAGCAGCTGGCACACTGGGTAAAGCGAGTAAGAGGGGGATTATCTTTTAACCTGATCCCCTAAACCCAAAACTCAAAACCCAGAATCTGAAACACTGAACACATGACACGTGATCGTGAGCATGAAACCCTGATAATCACAATCACGGGACTCCATAACCTCACTTCTCCCTTCCCCCCTCTCCCTTCCCTGCCCCTCCCATTTGCTCCCGCCTCCCATTACTACTCCTCCACCAGACGTACACAGGCAGCATTCTCATTGCGGCCAACCCCTTCATGCGCATCCCAGGCGTTGACGACCGGGAGATCTGAATGAATGCTAACCACAATTCTTTGAAGGACCCCCTCTCCCTGCCCCCTATCTCTCCCCTCCCTCCACCTTCTGTTGCTCCTTGCCCTCCTGCCAGACGTACACGGGCAGCATTTTGATTGCAGCAAACCCCTTCATGCGCATCCCAGGCATCTACGACCGGGAGATGAGGGAGGCGTACAGAGGGGCTCAGATCGGTGACCTCAGCCCACACGTGTTTGCCATTGCTGATAATGCGTACAGGTGAGCAGCATAGGGGGGGGATAGAGCGTACAGGTGAGGTGTAGGGAGGGAAGTGCAGGTGAGGAGATGAGATGGGACAAATAGCGCTGATGCATTAGAAGTTGGCTTCAGCCATTCTTATTGCCACAGCATATGTTCGCCATTGCTGATAACTCGTTCAGGTGAGGGCGTCAGGTGCCCAACAGGTGAGGGCGTCGATGTTGATAAGTCCGCCTCGTAACTACTTTCCTGAGTAGCTAACTTTCTGAGTAGCGAACATTTTGAGTAGCTAACTCGTGTTTTGCCAATCCATGTCCATCTGTGCAGAGCCATGGTGGACGATAAGCGCAGCCAGTCGATTCTGATTAGCGGAGAGAGTGGGGCGGGCAAGACAGAGACGACAAAGCTGGTGATGGAGTATCTGGCATCGGTGGGGGGACGGTCCGAGGCGACTGAGGGGCGCAGCATTGAAAGCCAAGTGCTGGAGGTGGGTCGAGTGGTCAAGCTCAGAACAGGGGGTGATGCTAATGAGGTGCAAAGTGCAACGGGCAAGGGGGCAAGACAGAGACGAGAAAGTTGGTGATGAAGTATCTGGCGTCCGCGGGTGGGCGGTCTGAGGCCACTGAGGGGCGCAGCATTGAAAGCCAAGTGCTGGAGGTGGGTCGAGTGGTCAAGCTCAGAACAGGGGGTGATGCTAATGAGGTGCAAAGTGCAACGGGCAAGGGGGCAAGACAGAGACGACAAAGCTGGTGATGGAGTATCTGGCGTCCGCGGGTGGGCGGTCTGAGGCCACTGAGGGGCGCAGCATTGAAAGCCAAGTGCTGGAGGTGAGTTGAGAGGTCGAGCTCAGAATGGGAGAGAGAAAGGGGGGGGAGTTGAGGGGGAAAAGGGAGGACAGGCTGTGGAATAGAGGTGGTTGGGGGGGTAAGAAAGGGAAGATGCCATGGGGTAAAGGGCAAGGTGCAAGACAGAGACAACAAAGCTGGTGATGGAGTACCTGGCATCGGTGGGGGGACGGTCTGAGGCCACTGAGGGGCGCAGCATTGAGAGCCAAGTGCTGGAGGTGAGGAAGAAGAAAGGAGGCAGGTGCTGGAATGGGGGTGTAGTAGGGTAAGAAAGGGGTGATGCAACGGGGTGCCGAGCAGCGGGCAAGACGGAGGCAACGAAGCTGGTGATGGAGTACCTGGCGTCTGTGGGGGGCCGGTCTGAGGCGACCGATGGGCGCAGCATTGAAAGCCAAGTGCTGGAGGTGAGTCGAGTGGTGAAGGTCAGAAAGGGGTGGTGCCGAATGGGTGTAAGGGGCAGGGGCAAGACGGAGGCAACGAAGCTGGTGATGGAGTACCTGGCTTCGGTGGGGGGGGCGGTCTGAGGCCACTGAGGGGCGCAGCATTGAAAGGCAAGTGCTGGAGGTGAGAGGGGGAGGTGAGAAGGGAGGGGGGTGAGGGAAGTGCGAGGGAAAGATCGAGGGGGGTGAGGGAAGTGCGAGGGAAAGATGGAGGTGAACGGATGGGAAGGCGCAGCCGATTTTCGTCCCACTTTTCTTCCCCCTCCCTTGCCTACCTACTAGCCCACCAGTCGAACCCACTACTAAAGGCCTTCGGCAAGCCAAAACCCCTTCCCCCTTCCCCCTTCCCCCTTCCCCCTTCCCCTTCTCCCACACACTCCTCTCCCCTCCCATCCAAACCCGTCCCTTACGCTCCCATTCCCCTCCCTCCCAACCAACCCACCAGTCAAACCCATTGTTAGAGGCCTTTGGAAACGCCAAGACAGTGCGCAACGGCAACTCGAGTCGCTTTGGCAAGTTCATCGAAATCCAGTTCGACCAGCGGGTCCCTCCTTTCCTCTCCCTCCCACCCCTCTCTCTTGCCAAAATCATCCTCCCCTTCCTCTCCATTCCCCTTCTCTCTCCCCATCCCACGCACCCCCTTCCCCTCCCCTTCTCTTCAAACCCCTCCTCTCTCATCCCCTCCCATCCCTCTTCCTTGTTACCTACCAGTCCAACCCATTGTTGGAAGCCTTTGGCAATGCCAAGACGGTGCGCAACGACAACTCGAGTCGCTTTGGCAAGTTCATCGAGATCCAGTTCGACCAGCGTGGGCCTACTCTCCTCTCCTCTCCCCCCCCCTTCTTGCCAAACCTCCTCCTCCCCCCATCCCTCCTTCCTCTTCTCACCATCCCACACACTCCTCTCCTCTGTCCGCCCCCCTCCCATCCCATCCCCTCCCATCCCCGTCCCTTATCACCCACCAGTCAAACCCATTGCTAGAAGCCTTTGGCAACGCCAAGACAGTGCGCAATGACAACTCGAGTCGCTTCGGCAAGTTCATCGAGATCCAGTTCGACCAGCGCGGCCGCGTGTCTGGTGCTGCCATCCGCTCCTACCTTCTAGAGCGGTCCAGAGTGGTGCAGATAGCAGACCCCGAGCGCAACTACCACTGCTTCTACCAGCTCTGTGCGGGTGCATCCACTGAGGTGTGTGTGTACTCTCACAGGGGTGTGCCTGCCTGATTTCAGACCAGACTCTGGTCTTCAGGCCCTGACCTTTGAGGCGCCTCAAACAAATATGGTCTTCAGGCCCTGAGGGTGTAGTTACTCGGGTTGGGCTGACCCTCACAGCAACTACCACTGCTTCTACCAGCTCTGCGCTGGTGCATCCACTGAGGTGTGTGCGTGCATGTGCATGTGCATGTGTGTGTGTGTGTGGGGGGGGGGATATTGCAAATTGACTGCAGACCCTCGCTGGCTAGGGTTTTTGAGTCGACTGAATAGTTTTCCACCTTCTCTTGTACCAGTAGGAAGAGATATACCGGCTTCCAACAGGGCCAAACAGAGCATAGAAGTTTCACTACCTGAAGCAGACCACGTGCATCGAGCTGGAGTGGAAGCGGAGCAAGTAGTGTGATGTGGATCAAGCACGCGCCTTCCATGCCCTGTTCACGTCTCTTTCGTTCTTTCTTCCCCCCACTCCCCCCCCTTTGCCTTTCCAGGAGGCAGAGAAATACCGGCTGCCACCAGGGCCGAACAGGGCGGAAAAGTTTCACTACCTGAAGCAGAGCAAGTGCATTGAGCTGGAGGGGAAGCGCAGCAACGCAGAGGAATATGTGATAACGCGGAATGCCATGGACGTTATTGGATCTCCCAGGACGAACAGGTGAGGGTGGGCGGTGGAATATGTTAGCAGTCCAAACATAGAGGGCCACCCATGGAATTAGGGTAGGTTTTCAGGTCGGTTGGGGATGGATAGGAGGAGGAGTATGTGATTGTACGCAGGGCGAGCAGGCGACTGGGCGAGGAGTATGTGATTGTACGGTAGCTTTGGATGCCATGGACTTGACTGGGCTGGGCTGGGATGTCGCAGGGCGAGCAGGCGAGGGGAAGATATTGGAGGCAACCGGACAGGGGGAACAGGGTGAACAGTTTTGCTGGTGCAATGCGATTTCCTTGCGTTTGGTCATACCATGCGTCCTCAACCACTCGGCAGACACCCATCTGCACTGCACGTGCGTGTGCAAGCAGGCGTCGAAATTCAGCATAGTGGTGGCGGTTCTGCATCTGTGGAACGTGGAGTTCAAGTAGAAGGGCGACAAGATGAGAGCTGCCAAGGTTTTCCCCTTTCCAGACATGCTACAACCTGGCCACCTCAACCCCCCACCCATCCCCCCCGAGCAGGCATCGATATTCGGCATAGTGGCGGCAATTCTGCATCTGGGGAACGTGGAGTTCAAGGAGAAGGGCGACAGGATGCGCATCGCCAAAATTACTCCTATCCAAACATGCCATTTCCCTCCCCCCTCACACACACCCCCCACTCGCCCTCTCTCTCTCCCCCTTCCTCTCCCCCTCCTCTCCAACTCCCTTCTTTCTTAAACCCTCCACCTGTCCCGGTGCATGCATGCAGGCATCGATATTCGGCATAGTGGCAGCAATTCTGCATCTGGGAAACGTGGAGTTCAAGGAGAAGGGCGACAAGATGCGGATTGCCAAGCACTCGGAAGAGAACCTCGAGAACGTCGCCCACCTGCTCTCGTAAGCACCCTGTCTGCTGATGCCAGCTCACTTCTTGTCAGTACCTGCCCTGTGGACTTCTTTTGACTTCTGCTGTGGTCAAGCACTCGGAAGAGAACCTCGAGAACGTCGCCCACCTGCTCTCGTAAGCACCCTGTCTGCTGATGCCAGCTCACTTCTTGTCAGTACCTGCCCTGTGGACTTGTGTTGACTTCTGCTGTGGTCAAGCACTCGGAAGAGAACCTCGAGAACGTCGCCCACCTGCTCTCGTAAGCACCCTGGTCTCGAAAAACGTCCTAGGACGTGCCGTGTCCGTTATTCTCCCCTGTTTTTGAGCTGTCAGCGCATCCCTGCTCATTGCTAACTGTTGCTGTTGTTGCAGCCGCCGCCTCTGCCAACTGCTGCAGCTGATGCTGCTCCTGGAGGCTGGAGCTTCTTCCTGTCACCTCCTTTTCCCCGCTTATCTCAGGAGTCGCTGTACACAGTGAAGCGCAAGGTGGAATGGACGGCAGTGAGATGGTTCGATAAAACTGTGCTCTTTCTCATGCCACACACCCGCTACTGTTCCCGACATCCCTCTCCCCATGCCGACCTCGCTCTCCCCATGCCGACCTCGCTCTCCCCATCCCGACCTCTTCCCCAACCCCCCCCAGGTGCGACAAGAAGAAGCTTCAGGAGTCGCTATGCACGATGAAGCGCAAGGTGGGCGGCGAGGTGATGCTCTGATTACACCGTGCTGTTTCGCATGCAACACAACGCCTCTTCTCCCCCACATCACATCCCTGTCCCAACTCCCCCCCAGGTGTGACAAGAAGAAGCTGCAGGAGTCGCTGTGCACGATGAAGCGCAAGGTGGGAGGCGAGGTGATCAAGAGCTATTTGGACGAGAAGGGCGCGGTTGTGCGCCGAGACACGCTCGCTAAGACACTCTACTCCAAGCTCTTTGACTGGTGGGTGGTTGGTTGACTGGTGGGTGGTTGGTTGGTTGACTGGTGGGTGGTTGGTTGGTTGCATAGATGGTGGGTGGGTGGGTGGGCAGTGGTGGTGGGAGGCGAGGTGATCAAAAGCTATTTGGATGAGAAGGACGCTGTCACACTCTCTAAGACACTCTACTCCAAGCTCTTTGACTGGTGTGTGGGTGACTGGTTGATTGAAGGGGTTGGACTGGTGGTTGTTGTTACGAGCAAAGTGGATGGGAATGAAAAGGTTGCGGTGGTTGGAAGGGATTTGCGGTGGTTGCTACTCTTAGCCAAGCTCCACCACCGGCATGGCATTGGAAGGCTCAAGGTGATGATGCCTCATGCGTGAGGTGGTGTGTGAGTCGAATCGAAAGGACGTGCCATGCCATTGGCCAGGATGCCACGAATCCAATGCTCTCTCGCTCTCCCTCTCGCTTTCCCCCACCCACCCCCCCTACCAGGATAGTGGAGAAGGTGAATCGGTCCATTAGGCAGGGCGCCAATGTTCTCTCTTCCTCACACTCCCACAACACCCCCTTTTCTCCTAACCCTTACACACCCCTCCCCCTCCAATCGCAGGATAGTGGAGAAGGTGACTCGGTCCACTGGGCAGGACGCCAACTCCATGGCGCTCACACACACACATGCACCCCCCCCCCCCCCCCGCCACCTCTATCAGGATAGTGGAGAAGGTGAATCGGTCCATTGGGCAGGACGCCAATTCCATGGCTCTCATTGGCGTGCTTGATATTTACGGCTTCGAGCACTTCAAACTCAACAGGTGTACCTCGAAATTCCCTCACATTCTGTTAAGACTTCGTGGCGTTGGATGACATTTGCAGCAGGTGTCATGCATCGTTTTGTGCATCCATTCTGGTAGAACCAACCAGGGGACATTTGCACTCCTGTCAAGTCAAGCATGTGAATCACTCATGGCAAGCATAATCCGTTGCACTCTTGGGCATCATCTGTTGGTTCTCTCTATCGTTAATTTTCTGGGTAAATTCCTATCTTTATCTGCTGCTGAGGGCTTCACACACACGTGTAACTGTGGAGCATCAGCGTTCTAGTCTGTCTCCACATCATTGCACATCGACTTGTTTGATTGTAGCAGTTCAGGTAGTGACATGATTCAGGCACTCACCGATCTACTGTGATGCCACGTCAGGAGCGTCTCACAGCTTGTATATCTCCCTGCTGACACCCCCCAATCCTCACCTCACCCCCACAATCCCCACCAGCTTTGAGCAGTTCTGCATCAATCTGGCCAATGAGAAGCTCCAACAGCATTTTAACCAGGTAATGCTAACAGTTACCCGGTGCAACGTAGAATATCTTTGTGAGTCTCCCCTGATCTGAACTCCACCTACCTACACCCTTCCTGTGAAACACCCATTACATACAAAAGAGCCCTGAAGAGACTCACACATCACACCACATAATTCTACTACTCTATGTTGCTCCAAATGCCTACCAGCTCCAGCCTTTCCCTTTCGTCTTTCACCCCTCTCCTCTCTGCTGCTCTCTCCCCCCCTACTCACACCACTCCACGCTCACACACCCCCACCAACCAACCACCACCAGCACGTGCTGAAGCTGGAGCAGGAGGAGTACGAACGGGAGGAGATCAACTGGAGCCAGGCTTCCCCTTGCTTCTCCTTTCACCCCTCCCCTCGTCTCTCCACTGCTCTCCTCCCCTACTCACACCACTCCACGCTCACACCCCCCCACCAACCACCACCAGCACGTGTTGAAGCTGGAGCAGGAGGAGTATGAGAGGGAGGAGATCAACTGGAGCTACATCAACTTCAGAGACAACCAGGACGTGCTCGACCTTGTGGAAGGGGTGAGTGATGGGTTGGGTTGGTTGAGGTGATCGGTGGGGTGGGGCGCGGTGGGGTGGGGTGGAAGGGGTGAGCTGATGATGGGGGCTAGAGGGAAGGGGTGAGTGAGCTGATGAGGAGATCAACTTCCGCGACAACCAGGACGTGCTGGACCTCGTTGAAGGGGTGAGTGGGGTAGAGGTAGCTGTTGGGTGGGGCTGGTGGGTTTTGAGGCGCCAAAACAATCGTTGCAACACACTTGGGGATCAACTGGAGCTACACCATTCTCCGCGACAACCAAGACGTGCTGGACCTCGTTGAAGGGGTGAGCTGATGGGCGAGGGACGAGTGGGAAGGGGTGAGTGAGGGCATGGGTGGGGTGAGAGGGATGAGCAGATGAGGTCCAATGGAGTGGAGGGAGGGGTGGGTGAGGTGTTAGAGGAGATCAACTGGAGCTACATCAACTTTCGGGACAACCGGGACGTGCTGGATTTAGTGGAAGGGGTGAGCTGAAGGGTGGGTGTGGCTAGTGCCAGTGGGACTAGTGGTTGAGTGAGATGCAGGCAGTGGAAAGGCGTGAGCTGAAGGGTGGCTGTGGCTAGTGCCAGTGGGACTAGTGGTTGAGTGAGATGCAGGCAGTGGAAAGGCGTGAGCTGAAGGGTGGGTGTGGCTAGTGCCAGTGGGACTAGTGGTTGAGTGAGATGCAGGCAGTGGAAAGGCGTGAGCTGAAGGGTGGGTGTGGCTAGTGCCAGTGGGACTAGTGGTTGAGTGAGATGCAGGCAGTGGAAAGGCGTGAGCTGAAGGGTGGGTGTGGCTAGTGCCAGTGGGACTAGTGGTTGAGTGAGATGCAGGCAGTGGAAAGGCGTGAGCTGAAGGGTGGGTGTGGCTAGTGCCAGTGGGACTAGTGGTTGAGTGAGATGCAGGCAGTGGAAAGGCGTGAGCTGAAGGGTGGGTGTGGCTAGTGCCAGTGGGACTAGTGGTTGAGTGAGATGCAGGCAGTGGAAAGGCGTGAGCTGAAGGGTGGGTGTGGCTAGTGCCAGTGGGACTAGTGGTTGAGTGAGATGCAGGCAGTGGAAAGGCGTGAGCTGAAGGGTGGGTGTGGCTAGTGCCAGTGGGACTAGTGGTTGAGTGCGATGCAGGCAGTGGAAAGGCGTGAGCTGAAGGGTGGGTGTGGCTAGTGCCAGTGGGACTAGTGGTTGAGTGAGATGCAGGCAGTGGAAAGGCGTGAGCTGAAGGGTGGGTGTGGCTAGTGCCAGTGGGACTAGTGGTTGAGTGAGATGCAGGCAGTGGAAAGGCGTGAGCTGAAGGGTGGGTGTGGCTAGTGCCAGTGGGACTAGTGGTTGAGTGAGATGCAGGCAGTGGAAAGGCGTGAGCTGAAGGGTGGGTGTGGCTAGTGCCAGTGGGACTAGTGGTTGAGTGAGATGCAGGCAGTGGAAAGGCGTGAGCTGAAGGGTGGGTGTGGCTAGTGCCAGTGGGACTAGTGGTTGAGTGAGATGCAGGCAGTGGAAAGGCGTGAGCTGAAGGGTGGGTGTGGCTAGTGCCAGTGGGACTAGTGGTTGAGTGAGATGCAGGCAGTGGAAAGGCGTGAGCTGAAGGGTGGGTGTGGCTAGTGCCAGTGGGACTAGTGGTTGAGTGAGATGCAGGCAGTGGAAAGGCGTGAGCTGATGCGGCTGGTGCTATATAGAGTGAGTTGCTGCATCTTCTATTCGCCATCGCGTGTTCCTCAAAGCTGCTCTGAACCATCTACTTCCATACTCAGGCATCTTTGACAACACCCAAACAGGCTTGACAACATGCATATGTCTCGCACCATTGCTCCCACAGGGCTGTGGGTGGGTGCATGTGCGTGGACAGTAGCTCTTATTGTCCTCTCTCGCTTTGAGACGTCACAATGATTGTCCTCTCTCGTCCCCTTGTGCTGCTTCTTTCTGCTGCTGCAGGACAAGGGCATTCTCACACTGCTCGATTCAGCTTGGTACGTCCCATCTCCCTGCCTTTCCAGCCCTCACCGTTTCCATATACCCGTGTTCTTCAGTGCCCCCCCCCCCCCCTTTTTTTTTTGGGGGGGAGTCGACCCTAAGTTTTCCTCAAAAGCAGAGTCTATGCCTTTCCTGCCCTCACCATGTCTCTGTCTGTCTTTCATACACCTATGCTTTCCTCACACACGAGCAAACCAGCGCAAGAGCACTGGCACTCTTTCCCTCCTTCCCTTTCTCTCCCAACCCCCAGCAAGCTAGCCCAGTCCACACCCGAGTCCTTCACCATGTCCTCTCTACGACGCCTTTCTGAAGCACGAGCGATTCACCAAGTCCAAGGGCTCTGTCACGGATTTCACACTGGAGCACTACGCAGGGCGAGTCAAGTACAGCACGGTGGGACTTCATCAGCAAGAACCTCGACGCCGTGGTATCAGAGCACGAGGCGCTGCTGCAGAAGTCCACAGATCCCTTTGTGGCCGCGCTCTTCCCCGCGGTTCAAGAGGAGGTGAAGGAGGGGGGCGGGAAGGGCGGCAAGGCCACCACCAAATTCGCTTCTCTTGGGAAGTCGTTCAAAGTGAGTAGTACAGAACCTAATAACAGTTTTTCATTTGAAGTAAGGGAGAGCGTGTGACTGTTTAAAGGGTCAGGCACCTAGGTCAAGGTAAAAAAAAATATTTTCTTGGGGCCTTCTACATGTGTGTGTGTGTGTGTGTGTGTGTGTGTGTGTGTGTGTGTGTGTGTGTGTGTGTGTGTGTGTGTGTGCGTGTTGTTTTTCTTATTTCTTTTTATTTTCTTTCTTTTCTTTTCCCTCTATTACACTTTTTTTTCTGTTACTTTGCAGCTACAACTGGCACAGCTGATGGAGACGGCTGAACCGCACAGGAACCGCACTACATCCGGTTGTATTAAGCCCAACTCCAAGAAGCCGACCAGCGCTGTTTGAGAGAGCATGGTGGTGGAGCAGCTGCGATGCGGGGGTGAGTGCGATGGGGGGATGGGAAAGGGTTAGGGTGTCCAGGGGTTAGAGGTGTCAGGGTTGATTGAGGGAGATGAGGGATAGGTACAGCGTCGTGCGGTTTGAGAAGAGCGTGGTGGTGGAGCAGCTGCGATCGGGGGTGAGTGCGATGGGGGGGATGGGAAAGGGGTTAGAGGTGTCAGGGGTTAGAGGTGGTCAGGGTTTGATTGAGGGGAGATGAGGGATAGGTACAGCGGTCGTGCTGTTTGAGAAGAGCGTGGTGGTGGAGCAGCTGCGATTCGGGGGGTGAGTGCGGCTTGGGGGGGATGGGAAAGGGGTTAGAGGTGTCAGGGGTTAGAGGTGTGAGGGTTGATTGAGGGAGATGAGGGATAAGGTACAGCGGCTCGTTGCTGTTTGAGAAGAGCGTGGTGGTGGAGCAGCTGCGATCGGGGGTGAGTGCGATGGGGGGATGGGAAAGGGGTTAGAGGTGTCAGGGGTTGAGGTGTCAGGGTTGATTGAGGGAGATGAGGGATAGGTACAGCGGTCGTGCGCTGTTTGAGAAGAGCGTGTGGTGGAGCAGCTGCGATCGGGGGGTGAGTGCGATGGGGGATGGGAAAGGGGTTAGAGGTGTCAGGGTTAGAGGTGTGAAGGGTTGATTGAGGGAGATGAGGGATAGGTACAGCGGTTCGTGCTGTTTGAGAAGAGCGTGGTGGTGGAGGCAGCTGCGATCGGGGGTGAGTGCAATGGGGATAAGGAGGAAGGGGTTTGGAGGTGAGTGCGGGAGATGAGGAATGAGGCGAACGGATGGGGAACGAGTGAGGAAGGGTGGGTAATGTAGGCGGGAGTGAGGGGTCGTGTCATGCTGTTTCAGAAGAGCATCGTGGTGGAAATCACTTCTGAGAATTCTAAAAAATACCCATCGTGGAGCAACTGCGGTCGGGAAGTGGGTGGGGGAGGCGAGGGGTGAGGGGTTGGGTGAGTTGGGCGGGAGTGATGGGTCGGGCGGAATGTGCTGTTCCAGGAAACATGATCGGGCTGGGGTGGCTGTGACAGCTGCAGTTGGGGATGAGTGGGGCCGATGAGGGATGGAGGGTTTGGGGAGGAAGTTATCAGAACCGCTGTTTATGGATAAGCTTTGATACTGCTCCAGTGTTCATGCACTGGAGCATTGCACACTTGCTCTACGCCCCCCCACGGTCCCACCCACATCACCCTCTTGCAAACCTCCCCCCACCCCACCCCCCTTCGCCTCCCCTGTGTTGCAGGGAGTGTTGGAGGCCATTCGCATGTGCTCGGCGGGCTACCCCACTCGCCGCCTCTTTGCGACTTTATCTTTATCGACAGATTCTCGCTGCTCGTGCCCACCCTCTTTGACAAGGAGTGAGTCCCTCCCTTGCTCCCATTCGTCTCCACCTGGAGCTTCCCCGAGAAGCAACGTAGAAATTTCACCAGCCTGGCGACGAGGCACCCCCCCACTTGTTGCTTCTCTGATGAACTCATCGACAGGTTCGCGCTTCTCGTCCTTTCCTCCCCGTTTTCACTTTCGTCCGTTCCCATTCTTCCTTGCCTCATGTCTGATCCTGAGTATGTGGAGTGGAGGTCATTCTGCGCCACGCCAAGCTGGAGTTTATTCTCTCTTGTTCTTTTGACTCAAAAGGCATCTTGGTCTGACCTGATTCCCATGCCGTCCTGTGCCCGTATTGCGCACAGGATGTCAGACCCCGAGTACGTGGAGGTCATTCTGCGCCATGCCAAGCTGGAGAACTACCAGGTGAGCTCCTCCTGGCCACGCGAGTGTGTTTGTGTGTGTGTGGGTGGGCGGGTGGATGTGTGCGTGTGCGCGCGTGTGGGTGCTTCTTTGTGTGTAGGCAGGGGGGTGGTATGTGCACACTTGCGCATCCGTGTGTGCAAGTGGGGGTAGAACCACCAGCAGTGACGCACGACAACTATGATTCCCCGCACTCCACCCCTCTCCCGCACATCGGCAAGTCCAAGGCATTCCTACGGGCGGGCCAGGTGGCGCTGATGGATGGAGACGTGCTGTGTTGCTGGCCCTGGTGGAACGCCCGTGGCACGCTGCTGTTGTGCATGCACACACTCACGCAATAGCATTCACTCCTCCCGTGGATTCCCCCCCATCCATTTTCTGCGCCCTCTCACCCTCCCACAGATCGGCAAGTCAAAGATATTCCTGCGGGCCGGGTCAGATGGCACTGATGGAGACGTGCCGACTAGAGATCATAAACGCCGCTGCCGCTGCTGCTGCTGCTGCTGCTGCTGCTGCTGCTGCTGCTGCTGCTGCTGCTGCTGCTGCTGCTGCTGCTGCTGCTGTGCAGCGTGCACACTCACCAACGCTCCCACGTGCATTCTCCCTCCCCCATTCCCACAGATCGGCAAGTCGAAGATATTCCTGCGGGCGGGGCAGATGGCTCTAATGGAGACGTGCCGTCTCGAGATAATGAACGCTGCTGCTGCCCGCATTCAGCGTGCCACGCGCCGCTTCCTCTTCCACCTGCACCGCGCCCGCGCCGCCCTCTGCATCCAGAAGCTCTGGCGCGGTGAGTGGGGTTATTTGTTGTGCCGCTGTTTTGTTGTGGTGAGTGAGTGGGGCTCTCTGTTGCTCCTCTCGGTGATTCTGCGCTGCCCTCTGCATCCAGAAGCTCTGGCGCGGTGAGTGGGGTTTATTGTATGGCTAGGAGTGGGGCTCTCTCTTGTTGCATCCAGTGCTCTCGTCATGTGCGCTCTGCTCGTTGCTGATCCGACTCATGCCTTCCACACCGCCCTCTGCACCTACACTGCCTTCCCACCCCCGCCCCTCCCTTCCCTCTCCATTCCTCCTGTCCCTTCCCTCGTGCACCACCTGCAGCGGCGCCTGGCAGCGACATGCATTCAGCGCATGGAGAGAGGACGGCAGCAGCGCATGCGCTTCCTCACACAATCCCTCCCCTCCCTTCCCTTCCGTTCCCTTCCCTTACTTGTCTTCTGTTCCCTACCGCTGCCAACCTACACGGCACGGGTGTTAGTGCACCACCTGCGGCAGCGCCTGGCAGCAACGTGCATCCAGAGAATGGAGCGGGGCCGGCAGCAGCACATGCGCTTCCTCACAACATCCCTCCTATCCCGTCCTTTCCTTCACCCCCCCTTCCAGCCTACAAGGCACGGCTGTTTGTGTACCACCTGCGGCAGCGCCTGGCAGCAACGTGCATCCAGAGAATGGAACGGGGCCGGCAGCAGCGCATGCGCTTCCTTGTGCTGCGACGGGCTGCAATCACCATCCAAGCCAAGTACCGCATGCATCTGTATCGCATGCGCTACCTGCACATGCGGGATAACCTTGCTGCCACCTGCATTCAGGTGTGTGTCAGTGGTGTATTTGTGAGGACAGGATCCCCCACCTGTCTTCTCCTCGCAAGCCCTGGAAGGCAATTTGATGTTCTCTCCCCCCCATCCACTGGCACCCCCCCATCCACTGGCACCCCCCCATCCACTGGCACCCCCCCATCCATTGGCACCCCCCCATTCACTGGCACCCCCCCATCCACTGGCACCCCCCCATCCACTGGCACCCCCCCATCCACTGGCACCCCCCCATCCACTGGCACCCCATCCGCCCCATGCATGCTCTCTTTCATCCATACCACCTCCCCATTGTCCCACGCATCCCTTCCTACCCCCCAGTCTTCTCTCCCACTCCCGCTCTGCCCCCCCTCTACCCGCCTCTCTCCAGAGCCACTGGTGCAGTTACGCGGCTCGCAAGCCCTCCCATTCTTTTATCCATGCGCATCCTTTCCCCCGGCCTCACCCTCTCCCCATCTCCTCTCCCCCGGCCTCACCCTCTCCCCATCTCCTCCCCCCCTTTTCCTGTTTCTCTCTCCCCAGTGTCACTGGCGGGGCTATGCGGCTCGCAAGCCCTGGAAGGCCGTTCGAGGTGCCTAACACACGCTGCCGTCCCCCCATTCACCTCTCTCTTCCTCTCCTTCTCTCTGCCTCGCTCTTTCTGCAGTGTCACTGGCGCGGCTATGCGGCTCGGAAGCCATGGAAGGCCCTGCGGCAGTACTTCTTTGCACGCCTGGCCAGGCTGCGATATAAGAACCTCAAGCTGGTGCGTGCCCGCCTGTACTTGATTGGGTTGATTCACTTGAAATACGTGCACCCCCCCACCCCTTTCCACTGTCTCCGCAAACACCTCTCTCTCTCTGCTCTACACTCCCGGCCCAACCCCTCCACACTCATCCGTCTAGAACCCCTCCCCCGCCTCCCAATTCGGCTTCTGCGACACCCACCCTTCGTTCCAGCCCCACATCCCTCTCATTTGATGCCATTCACCCATCTCAGCTTGATCACCCCTCCAGCACTCCCGCTGCCCCTTCCTCGCTAGTCTCCTTTCAGTTTCTGCCAGCTGTTTCTCCTTCCAGCTCCCAGCCTTGTGGTTATTTATCGCGCTTGCTTGCTCCTCTGCTTTCCTCCCATGCCTGCCTTCTATTCCACCAATCACAGGAGGCGACTCGCATTGCTGAGCTGGCGCCGCCACGCAAGAAGACGGAGGTAGCAATGGATACGATTCGCATGATGGTGCTGTGCAACGTGACGTGGGGGTTGGTGGATGGAAAGTGTGATTGGAGGGCGGTATGGCAGGGTGGTAGGGGAATTGCGGGCGGCGCGCGGCAGGGAGGGAGATAGTGGGATGTGATGCGAGTCCGTATGTGCCTGCCTGCGTGTCCATTCCCCTATCTCTGCATGCCCCTGAAACCTCTTCTCTCTATCTCTGAAACGATTTCTGACTCGACAAAATTTGTTCCTGCATGTCTGTTCCCCCGTCTCTGCATGCCCCTGAAACCTCTTCCTCTTATCTCTAAACCCTTTTAACCCCCCCAAACCCGCGACCACCCCGCCCCCACCCCCTCGTTCCCCCTCCTCCCCCGCAACAGGACAAGGCGGAGAAGGGGGGCAGGCGTTGGAACGCCAGCTGGCAGAGGCATGAGAGGAGGTGGAGCGGCGGGGCAGGGAGATTGCCCGGCTGCAGGCTGCAGGAGATGCTGGATGCGGAACAGGCGGGGAGAGGCTGCAGAGGGTGAGGCGATCCAATTCTTCTCCGTGCCACTTATCCCTCTCCCGTACCATTCCCCCTCTCCACTCACTCTCCCCACTCTTCTACCCCAGGACAAGGCAGAAAAGGGGCGGCATGCGTTGGAACGCCAGCTGGTAGAAGCACGAGAGGAGGTGGAGCTGCGGGGTAGGGAGATTGCGGCACGCGGCAGGGAGATAGCTCGGCTGCAGGAGATGCTGGATGCGGAACAGGCGAGGGCAGAGCCTGCAGAGGGTGAGGCGATCCAATTCTCCTCCGTGCCACTCATCCCTCTCCATATCACCCATTCCCCCACTTCCCACACTTCCCTACCCCAGGACAAGGCAGAAAAAGGACGACAGGCGCTGGAGTGCCAGCTGGCGGAGGCAAGAGAGGAGGTGGAGCGGCGGGGTAGGGAGATTGCGGCACGCGGCAGGGAGATAGCTCGGCTGCAGGAGATGCTGGATGCGGAACAGGCGAGGGCAGAGGCTGCAGAGGCGGAGGTGAGGACGATGGTGGCGGAGCGGGAGGAGCAGCGGGAGGAGCAGCAGCAGCACTTGGTGAAGATGAAGGAGCTCTCTGTGCTGCCTGACGTGCTCAGCCATACGCCCACTGCTGCTTCTGCTGCTGCTGCGGGTGGGGTTGGTGATGGTGCTGCTGCTAGGGATGAGGCTAGGGTATTGGCAAATGCGGCAGCTGCAGCAGTGGCGGCTGTTGACGGGGCGGTGGGAGCGACTGAAGCAGGGTCTAGGACGAGGCTGGAGGAGCTGAAGCCGCTGCAGCAGCAGCAGCAGCAGAAGCAGTGCCAGCTGCAGTGTCAGCACCCGCTCCCACAGCAGCAGCAGCAGCAGCAGCGGCAGGAAGAGTGGCAGAGGCTGCAGGGATGCACGTGGGTGCACCCCCTCCTCTGCACACAGGGCCTGTACTGTGTGCTCGGTGTGCGGGGAGAGTGGAGGCATCAGGAGGCATTCCCGTGTCCCCTTCGTCCCTCCGCTCCCTTGCCTCTCCCTCCTCCCGCCGGCCTCCCCGTTTGCTGTATCTCCCAGGAGAACCCCTACTGCCGCTGCTAGAGATGAGGCTAGGGTGTTTTACCAGTGGCGCCGCCGCCGCCGCCACTGCTGCCGCTGCTGCTGCTGCTGCTGCTGCTGCTGTGCTGCTGCCAGTGCTGCGTCTGTTGACCCGTATGCTGACCATGCAAGGAGGCCTGTGCAAGGCGAGGGCGAGGGAGAGGAGGGAGAGGAGGAGGGAGTGGAGGAGGTGAAAGAGGTGGCAATGGAGGGGGATAGGGAGAAGGAGTGTGTTGTCTTGGGGGTGGAGGGCGGCGCAGACAGGACGGCGCTTGCCAACCATTTCCTGCCGCCCATTTTGGAAAGATCTGCACAGAGCGAGGCGGATCTAGTGGAGGCAGAAGAGAGGGCCGGGAACAGAGGCAAGGACGGCAGTGGGGACGAGGAGCAGGAGGAGCAAGGTCAGAGGAAGCAGCAAGCTCAGGAGAAGGGGCAAGAGCAGGAGCAGGTGCAGGGAGGAAAGGGCGAGGGGCGAGGGGAAGGGGCAGCAGCAGCAGCGGGAGGCGAGGAGCACAGGGAGGGAAGCCGCGGCCTGTGTCCCCTCTATCAGCCGGTGCCAGTGCCATCCGCGATAGACTCACTCTGGACGTGGGCGCTGGCAGCACCACCAGTGGCGCTGCTGCTGCTGCTGCCGCTGCAGGAGCAGCAGCAGGAACAGCAGCAGGGACAGCAGCAGGAACAGCATCCGGGGGAGCAGCAGCAAGTGTGGGCCCAGGGGGGGGCGCTCCTCTGCCTCCCAGCGACAGCAGCAGGCGCCCCATGCGCCCCCGTGCCGCCTCCTCTTCAGGCTCAGGCTGGCAGGTCCCCCTCAGAGGACGGTGACTTAGACCACGACGGGGGCTCAGCAGCGGAGCAGGACAGAGGGCCCTTGAGTGCTGACCGGGGGGCCCTCTTAGTTCTGAGAGACCCAGGAGAATGTCGGCTGGAGCAGGAGGGGTGGAGGGGGAGGGGGGGCGGGAGGGAAGGAGTTTGGACGGTATGGGTAGCTCGTTCCGGGGCTCGCCGGCCCGGGAGTTTGAGGGGGGGGCGCGGGTGGGGCGAGGGGAGGAGGGGTCGTGGAGTGGGAGGAAGCTGGGCGGAGTGGGGTCGAGATCTGCCCGGATCGGGGCTAGTGAGGCGCGTCACCGAGGGGAGGGGTGGGATGGGGATGGGGACTCCGCCCACGCCTGGGACGAGTGGGGCGGGGACGCCGAGGGGGAAGAGTCTGACGTTTTCGGCGAGCAACTTTGATAAGATCCTTGCTAGCATGCAGCGCGAAGTGGAGATTGCACAGAAGGTGAGATTGCACAGAAGGTGAGATTCCTGCAAGAGTTTGGGTTGCCTCAGAATCAGATATCAAGATTGCTAGAATTTGTGAAAGAAGCTGCCATCTATCCCTCTCTTCTCCCCCTTCTCTCTTCCCCGCCAACACACACCCTTTCCACATCAGATGCGCGAGGAGAACAACTGGCTGCGGGCGGCCTACAAGGAGGCGGTGCACAAGGCAGAGGTGGCGAGGCAGGCAGGGCCGCATGTGTCTGTCACCAACGCGCTACAACTCACCCCCCACCCCTCGTGTCCCCTCTCGTCAGATGCGCGAGGAGAACAACTGGCTGCGGGCAGCATACAAGGAGGCGGTGCACAAAGCAGAGGTGGCGGCAGCACTGGCGGCGCATGCGGGCCCATGTCATCCCTGTGTCCTTTACTCTGCTCCCCACCTCCCTCATCAGATGCGAGAGGAGAACAACTGGCTGCGAGCAGCCTACAAAGAGGCAGTGCACAAGGCAGAGGTGCGGCAGCACTGGCGGGCGCAGAGAGGGCGCGGGCGGAGGAGGCGGAGAGGAATGTGGCAGCAAGGGAGGAGGAGATGCGGGAGGCCCTGGTGCGATGCCATGAGCTGCAGGAGAAGCTGCTCGGGTGAGTGCGGGTGGTGCGGTGATGGCAGGTCGTGGGATGAGTGCGGGTGGTGGGTGAGTGAGTGAGGTCGCTTCAGAACATGCATTCTCTAGCTGCAAGCTCCTTCGACATCCATGCGCTTTCCTAAATGCATCCACACCCCACACTATCCCCTTTATTCCTCCTTCCCTGATGCACACACACACCCACACACCTCCTCACTCTCCCCCCATTATCTATCCTCCTCACCCCCCGTGTCCACCACAGCAAAGCGCGGGAGGTGCGCACGCTGAGTTCAGAGGCTGATCGCCTTCCAGGCCAGCATGGCCAACGCCAACCCCGCCATGCCCTCGACAAGCAGCAGGTGCGAGCTAAACCTCCTCCCAGTTGGGTTCTGAGAATTCTCCTATATTTGTAGGCTGGTTTCGAGTATTCTCACAACCAGCTTCCAGGCCAGCATGGCCAGTGCCAATCCCGCCATGCCGTTGACAAGCAGCGGGTGATATTTCACCACTTCGCACTCAGCAGGTAGATTACCTGCTGCTCGCACTCCATTGCCTCCCTCCCTTCTGCTCGCTCTCTT